AAGAGTTCTTTGGAGCTACTGGAGATGGATTCGAAGCCTTCTTTTGTCAGAGTCTAAAAGAGAAGGAGGAGAGCTCTAGTCACTTCCTTTGGAGAGTCCAAAACAAGTGCACTGATGGGCAATCTGTCCTGCATTCAGAGGTAACGCGGTGTAGCTCAGAGGATGCTGCGCTACCTGACGGCTCTAGAACCTGGAAGACTTGAGACATTCAAAAGGCCACACTAGGGATGGCCACACATTGGTGGCTGGTGTGACTGTCCACCTCACCTGTAAGCGGTCCAGGAAGAGTGGCTGCATCATGTCCTCCCAGAACAAGAGTGGCTTCTCCAGCAGCCGCCGGCTCACCGCCTCCCAGCCGGGACCCGCCAGCTCGCTGCTCAGCAGCTCCCACATGGCGTCTCGGATCCCTGCCAGGCCTTTCATGGTCTTCACGTATGAGAGCAGGTTGGTGATCCCAGTCTTAATGTCTTCGTTACACCTGTAATAAGACCATTTTCCTGGGGCTCTACCAGTTTTGGGGTTTTCATAACATTACTCAGAAAAATAGCGGGAGCCCAGTGCCACTTCCAGCCTTTTTCTGTTTATGTGATGCTGAGGAATTGAACCCAGGGCTTCATGCATGCTAGGCAAGCACTCTACCACTAAGCCACATTCCCAGCCTCTATATAATATTTTGAAAGACAAATTCTTCCCTGGTTCTCCCACAGTATGTGCTAAATCCCATGAAGGTGGGCTGTTTGCCATGGGTTGGAGGCTGATGTAATCACCCAGGTGATTCTGAGATTCTCTGCCCATGCCTCATGGCCCCTTTTCTGACCACACCAGGGTCTGCATAGAGCACATGCCAGTCTCAGGGATTCCTCTTCTGTCTGCTTACATGTGGATCCATTTCTGTAGCGTGTCTCTCAGGTATTCCTGGCTGATGGGATGTGCAAGGGTTCGGAGGGTGGGCTGGAACTCAGCGATGGATGCTGGCAAGTGCCGGGACCAGCTGCAGAGCTGCACGTCCTCTTTTAGCACGCTGAAGCCCTTTCCTATGGAAAGCCACACAGGAAGAAATATAGGCCATTCTGAACAGTGCATTACAAAGGGACCTACAGGGAATTTCTGCTCAGGTCAAAATGGACCCTTGGAGGAGGAAGAAGAAGACAGCATATATTCCAGCCTCCCTCATCAGGAAGTGGCAGTTTGCTTACAACCATGGCCGCCCTATGGCTGAGAAGAATGGCACAGGCTAGGAGAAAGGAGTGAGGACCAAAGAAGGAGAAGGAAGAAATAAGAGCTGTGCAGTCCTTGACATGACGTTCAAATTCTTACTGGGGTCTTGCTACCTGGCCCAGGCTGGCCGCCAGCCCTGGGTGCAGTAGTTCATCTGCCTACTTCCTGAGCAGCTATGGGCTACATTCAGGTGGATGGCGCCATGCCCAGCAGTACCTGATGTTTTCATTACATCCCTTTTGTATACCACCCTATGTCCCTTGTGGATCAGCTCCATCACTGGCAGCTGTGCACAGGCCAGTGCTGGGCAGCTCTGGGAGGAGCCTGTCCCTGAAGGCTCTCAGGGTTTGAAGGACAGAGTTCAAAGGTCTCGTGCTTGCTTTCCAATTCCAGGACAGATTAGTCAATACTCATCTTTTGAAAGCGGGATAACCTATTACCTGCCCGTGTGCAGAGGGAAGCGGTGGAAGGGGTCCTGACTCTCCTGGAAATAACCGCTTGGCTATGACCACACCTTACTTTCTTTCTTTTTTTTTTTGGTCCGGTCGTGGGGCCTGAACTCTGGGCCTGGGCTCTGTCCCTCAGCTCTTCAGCTCAAAGCTAGCACTCTACCACTTGAGCCACAGTGCCACTTCCGGCTTTTTTCTTTTTGCTTATGGAGTGCTGAGGAATCAAACCCAGGGCCTCATGCATGCAAGGCAAGTGCTCTACCACTGAGCCACCTTCCCAGCCCCCACACTTTACTTTCTTTTCCTGTCTTTGCTCCATCTCCTTGGTCCACTTTTCCTGTTTCTCTCTGACTCAGGAATCCTAGAATTCCAAGGGATCATGCAATCTTGTTTTGTTTATTGGTCTCATCCATTTCCACAACTAAAACACCATCATACACAGACACACTGCAGGTACATGTCTCCAAGCAGACCTTTCTCTGCTCTGGTCTGAGCCCAGAATCACCATGCACTCCTTAGACCCATTCCTATCTCCTCCAGTGCCACATTTTCAACCCACCCCCAGCTTATCCAAAGCAGCTCCTTTCCTAATTAACTTTGTCATCTCTTCCCACACCCTATACAACAGCCCAGCCACCATCAAACATCCTCCCCTTTGATGGATGTCTGAGCTGTTCTCTTAGCCTGTCGCTACAGTTCCCTCCCAATCCCAGCTTCTCTGGTCCAAGTCAACCTGGACCATAGTGACCGATTCTGCAGCATCCCTCTACCCCATGGGGTTCTACTCCACATAAGAATTAGTAATGTTTAATAACAGCTGGGATAAATGCTGCCCGCCAGCAGTATGGGACACACAGGGACCACACCAGGTGTGGAAGGTGCTGGCAGGCTATCCATTGCCCTTTGTAGTCCAAGCTCCAAAGGCAGCCACTCCTCCCGTCTTCTCAAGCTTCCCTCCCCCTTCCTCTCTACAGACCCCAGCCTCCCTGGCTTGCTTCAGCTCTTCAGACAAACACACTAACATCCTCTTGCCTCAAGACTTTGCAACTCTTCTTCCCTTTATCTAGAACTCTCTTCCTTGTCGTGACTAACTTACTTCAGGAACTTTCTTCCTTGCCTTGACTCACTCACTCCCAGTTCAAAAATCACTCCTCCCTTATACCTTCCTAAGATCTTTCCATTCAATGTTCCTAAGGCAGTTGGTACCTTGCATTGATAGCAATGATGGACACTGACATCGAACACTTTATTCTTGTGAGTCCAACCTCTGTCTCTACCAACAGACTGTGGCCTTCACAAAGGAAGGGGCCCCATCTGTCCCACTCATTGCTCCATCCCCAGGGGCTGGCACATGGCAGACGCTAGGGAAGGATCAGGTAAATGAAACAGGAAGAAGGTTGGCTAAGAACTCACCAGGAGGATGCTGGCCTGTGATGGTCTCCAGAGTAGAAAATAGCAAGCCACAGGGCAGGGACGGATCTGGCAACTGACCTTCAGATATGGTGTAGAAAAGGGCATGAGCCTGGTTCAGAGTGGTGGCCAGTAACTCCACTAATGAGCAAATCTGGGCTTTGATGCCAGCACCTAGGAGAAGCAACAGTCCTCTTTTGAACAGTTTCCTTTAGCAAAGTTAAAGTCAGAGTACTCAATCTCTCTCAGCTCACTCTGTTCATCCCTCACTCTGTTCATCCCAAGTTTAAGGACTAATGTTTGGAAAGGAGCCACACCCACCATGGCGTGGCTGTTTGAGAAGTTTCTGAATAGTTGCCTTTCTAGCCAACAGGAAGTCGGTGAGGGCTTGCCGGGGAGAACTCTCCTCTAAGAGAATTATAGAGCAGAGGGCCTCAGCCACAGCTTGGTCAGATACGGCTTGGCACTTGAGCAGCATCTTGCTTTCATGCAAAATGGTTGACCTAGAAGATGCAAGAAAGATCAAAGAGACTCTTCAGCATCTTGAATGAAGGCCTTAGGGTATCAAGAAGGAACAGATTACATGAGAGTGGAGGGGGGAGGCCCACATGGGTGTCCATGACTAGAGAAGACCGTTCGTTATGCTGGGATCTACTTACCGGAAGTGGCTGGCTGCTGCCACCTGCCGGACGAGTATAGGAAACCGGGAGAGGATGGGGCTGTGTCGGGAGCTAGAGTCCAGCTGCAGCAGGCAGTGAAGGTGGCAGCAGAGCAGGTAGAGCCCTGTGGCGTGAAGGTACTGAGAGGCTTCCATGGCACTCCAGATCTTCTCAGGGATCTCTAAGAGCAGCTTGATTTGAGCAGCCATGCTGTAGAACTGCTCCTGGGATGGCAGCTTGGGCTGCAGGGACGGATAGAGCAAAGTCAGAACACACGTGCTCAGCCTAATCTGGAGTTCAAGATCTTCCTGTGCTAGCTTCCCGAGCAGCTGTGTTACAAGTGTGCGTTACTCGGGAGACTAAGCCGTTGAAGTCAGTGTTCTGCCTTCTCCTTTGCTGGGCTTTTTCCATTCATGGCTGGTGTACCACTGGAACCACACCTCCAGCCGTAAGCCCTAAAATAAGCTTGAAGAAAAAGCACTCAGTCATAGCAAAGTCTGGCCTCCTGCAGGAGACATATACTTAAAATTTCCCAAGGACTCTCTACCTTCTATGCTTGTATCAACAGTTATGCCAGCACAGTGTACTGGGCCTGGATTTTTCCGAAACCTGGGTAGCATTAAGACAGTTTCAGGTGGGCTGGTGGTTCAGTGGTAGAGCACTTGCCTTGCATGCATGAGGCTCTGGGTTCGATTCCTCAGCACCACGTAAGCAACAAGAAAAAAGCCGGAAGTGGTGCTGTGGCTCAAGTGGTAGAGCGCTAGCCTTGAGCTTGAGCTGAAGAGCTGAAGCAGAGTTCAGGCCCCACGACCAGACCTCCCCCCCCCAAAAAAGAAAAAGTTTCAGGTGGCAAGGAGAGGGCACTTCCGCAGTGTCTTCTTCCCTGTCACCAGCTCTCCCAGGGTAAGGGTAAATTTCCTGTTCCACTGTGACATCTAGATTAACGTCCATTACAGAAGCTGCTCCAATATCCAGACGTGTATCCCCCACCCCCACCTTCCACTAACAGTAAAGTTGGGGGTCGGTGGGAGACAAGATGACCTGAGAAGACAGGTCATCTTCTTGATGACAAGAAGAGCCTGAGCTCCCCACAATGAAAGGGGAGGCTTGGGGTTTGGCGTTGGCTTCCCACAGCCTCCGACGGCGAGGCAGCTGGCTGGCATCGCGGAAGGCGAGCCAGGAAGCTGGGATGAGGAAGGCAGGGCTCGCGGGGAAGGCAGGTGTGCGCACGGGGCAAATCTGCTCCGGGAGAACCACGGTCGGGGACGGAAGCCAGGGAGCGGTGAGGTGCCCAGGGACAGTGCAGGGACCCCGGCGCTGCCAGCTACACCGGGCGGGGGAGCCCAGCCCGGAAGTCGGCGAAGCTGTTGAAGGAACTGCCGCGGGGGCGCCGGGAAAGGAGCGTGCGGGCTCAGCAGGCCGCGGGGGCCGGAGGTGAGCGCGGGGCCGTGGCGGGGCGGGGCGGTACTGACCGGCGGGGGCC